TGTCCCTTTAACAGCAGGTGTCACACCTCTCAGTTAGAGCCCAACTGTCTGGAGGGTCAGCACAAGGTCCCATCCTTACCCTACAGCTTCCCTCTCTGAAGTACAAGGCATCTGACTGATTATAAGTTTTCTGGGAACTACTCTTTGTATTTTCACCTACCAGACCCTTCTCTGAATAGTTGGAATTAGTCCATTCAACAGTTACTTCTCCAATGTATTCATTCATTCAACAAACACTTTCTGAGCCCCCAGAATGCATCAAGCATGGCACTAGTGCTTGCACAGGGGCACAAAGCGCTGGACCATGCAGCCAGCCATGGTTCCTGCTGTAAAGAGTCTTTGGTCGAGTGGGAAGGCAGACAGTGAGTGAGCCAGCGCACATCACAAACAGTGCACCGCGATGCCTCGGAGAAATGGCTGATGCTAGGGCTGGAGCACAGTGTACCAAGTGGTCTAGAGCATCTTAGAGTGCCAGAAAGAAAATGCTACACACACACACACACACACACACACACACACACACAAAAAGATGGGTGTGCATCAAAAGGGAAACAGGAGCCAGATGAAAGAATAAAATAAAGAATAATAATCCAAAGTCTAAAATAAATATCCATGAGTTCATACTGATATCAATGAATGATTGAACGCATGAATAAATTGGGGGAAGGGACAATCTCCCTTGGCCTTCCCCATAACTGGAAACTTGCTGAGGTCTTCACCAGAAGTAGATGCTAGCACCATGCATCTGTCTGCAGAACCATGACTGAATTAAATTTATTTCCTTTTCTTTTTCTGAGACTAGTTTCACCGTGTTGCTCAGGCTGGAGCACAGTGGCGAGATCATAGCTCACAGACTCAAGCAATCCTCCTGCTTCAGCCTCCTGAGTAGCTGGGACTACAGGCACACACAACCACACCCAGCATATATATTTACTAGAGACGAGGTCTCACTATGTTGCCCAGGCTGGTCTTGAACTCCTGAACTCAAGCAATCCTCCTGCCCCGGCCTCCCAAAGTGCGGGATTATAGGCGTGAGCCACCACACTGGCCTGTCTTTTCTTTATAAATTACCCAGCCTCAGGTATTTCTTTGTGGCAATGCAAAAACAGCCTAACACATGCATGTTGGGTTCTAGATGTAGCTGGAACCAGTTGCCCTTTTCTTCTTGCCTATCTCTCCCTTTTGGAATGAAAATGCCTCTCCTATGCCTGCCCCACCCTTGTCTTTTGGGAGTAGATAGTCTGTTTTGATTTCACAGGTGCACAGCTGGAAGTGAGTCTGCCTCAGGACAGTCATGCCTGCCTTGGAGTCTCAGCTTCATCTGATTTAGATGGCACTCTGGATTTTGAACTTTTCAGTTGGTACTGGAAGAGTTAAGCTTTTGGGGACTATTGGGATGAAATGAATGTATTTCACATGTGAGAAAGGCATGAATTTTGGGGGCTAGGACAGAATGCTATGGCTTGAATGTGTCCCCTAAAGTTAATGTGTTGGAAACTTAATCCCCAGTGCAACAGTGTTGAAAGATGGGAGGGACTTTTAAGAGGTGATGAGGTATGATGGCTTTGCCCTCATGAATGGATTAATGCTGTGATCTCTAGAGTGGGTTAGTTATCTTGGGAGTGGGTTCCTGAAAAAAAAATGAGTTTGATCCCGTTACTCTCTCTCCACTCCCACCTCTCTTTTCTTTCCCTATCCCTCTCATTCTTTTGCCCTTCCACCTCCGCCATGGAAAGACACAGCGAGAAAACCCTAGCTGGATGCCAGCATCTCCATATCAGACTTCCCAGCCTCTAGAACTGTGAAAAATAAATTTCTTTTCTTTATCAATTATCAGTCTATGGTATTCTGTTATAGCAACACAAATGGACTAAGACAACTAATTTTCAGTTTTCAAATGAGCATCCCATCAAGTCCTTAAGTTTTATACAGTCCACATTTAATTTCTGCTGCAACAAGACTATCTGATGAGTGGCAAAAACTGAAGGTCAGTGTTCAGTGTTAAGGCCATGCAGACTAATATAGATAATCTGAACAGAAAAAGAGATATTTTACACAGTGATGAGATGGTTTCATTTTTAGACACCTAAGCAAATGCAACACATTATCTGCAACAACTTTGGTTTGAAACTTCTATCCTGCACCAGTCCTAGAACAATTTCCACTGGTCCAGAATGTCAATGCTCAGACACAGTACTGCATGGAACCAGGTGCAGGATTGAGAACAGGGCATGCTTTAGAAAAAGCAAAAGCTATTTCCAGGACTATCTGCTATGCTAGTTCAGCTTTGCCAAGCAATATTCAAATACTCATGGAGCAGCACATACTATGCGCAAAGTACTTAGTATTGTAGAAATGCAAAAGAAGAAGAAGAAGAAGAAGAAAAGCTTAAACTGTTTATAATCCCCAAAGAAGTTTACAATGTGCTTAGAAAAATTATTTTACTGTGCAAACAGCTGATCCTGGCTGGAGCATCTGTTTGGGAGAGGAATAGAGAGGAGACTGGGAAGTCCACCGCGGTTAAATTGTGTGGGGCAGGAGAGAACACCTAAGATGCACTGCACAGGGCACATCTGGGCAGTATGAGGATGGATGTCTAACAAAAAAGCCTAGAGATGCTCAGTGCGGTGGCTAAGGCCTGTAATCCCAGCACTTTGGGAGGCTGAGGAAAGTGGATCACCTGAGGTCAGGAGTTCGAGACCAGCCTGGCCAACATGGAGAAACCCAGCTCTACCAAAAATACAAAACCTTGCCAGGCGTGGTGGTGGGTGCCTGTCATCCCAGCTACTGGGAAAGCTGAGGCAGGAGAATCATTTGAACCAGGGAGGCAGAGGTTGCAATGAGCTGAGATCACATCACCACACTCCAGCCTGGGCAATAGAGCCAGACTTCGTCAAAAAAAAAAAAAAAAAAAGGCCTAGAGATTTCTGTGTCTCTCCACCCTCCAGGTTCAAGGCCATTTCCAGGACTTCCCCAGAGTTTTTAAAACTTGACTCGGGCAAATTCTCTAAGAACCTCGTTCTCCTCAAATAAAATATTTTGGAAGGTGGACTTTTATAAGTCTTGGCTCAACTTCCACGACCTTTAACAGACATCTTGTTTCATGGGAGAATATGACCCAACAAGTGGCATATGGTTTAGGTGGGGACATTTAATTACCAAACAATTTCGTAGAATAAGCAAGGCACACATCTTTTGTCCGATGCATGACAGGTTTGAACCTGTAAACCCAGGTCCCTAAATAGCTTCCCACGTTTCCACCCCACCGGCCCTTGCACCACTCCCTGTACTGGCCCTGAGCTTTCTAGTCTTGACTGAAAAGCGGGGAGGCAATGGGGTCTCTCCTGGTGCACTGTCCCGAGGAAGGCCCGCTCCGCTTCCCCGGAGGAGGCTTCAAAGGATGGAGGTAATTAATAAAAACAACCCTCTAAGTGGTCATTAATTAACAAAGAACCTCCAGGTTGCTACAGGAGAGGGCTGTGCACCCCGCGGGCTAGGAGAAGGCTGGAGTGCCCAGTAAGCCCGAGGATGTGTCCTTCATGCATCTTTAATTCACAGCCTGCCCCTCACACTGCTCGCCACGGGTGCGCTACGGAGGAAGGGCCCCCTCGAGGGCCTGGGCAGGCGCCCCACACCTGCACCCGCGCAGAGGGGCTGCGCCCCGGAGGGAGAGCCCCCTACATCCCTGGTACCCCGTCCCCTCCAAGGGCCGGAAAGAGGGCCCCTGCGCACCTCTTAGGGGGCCCCCATCCTGCGCCCCCCGCCACGGGAAAAGGGTCCCCGCTCTGCGCACCCGGGCCCCGGGGTACAGCCCCTGCGCTGCACCCCTTGCTCCCGCGGGGGACGGTCCGCGCCCAGCGCCTAGGGCGCCCCGGGCAGGTGGGGGCGCGGGGCTCGCGGAGTGACAGCGCTCGCCTCCCGTAGCCCGCCCGAGCCGCGTCAGGGCAGAGGCGGGGTGGGGCGCGGTTAAAAGGCGCGGCAGGTGGGAGCCGCGGTCTTCACCCGCAGCCGAGCGGAGCGCCCGAGCCCGACCCGCCTGCCCCGCCGGAGCGGAGGGCGCCGCCCCGCGCAGAGCCCGCGCCAGGGCCGCCGAGCAGGTAAACGGGCGCGGACCGGGGGTCGTGCGGGGGGAGCGGCGGCGCCACCTGGGCCCCGCGGGGGAGGAATTTCCTCCGAGAAGCCAAAGCGGGCGAGGTCGGCGGCTGGTCCCACCTCCCCGTCGCTCCTGTCGGGTTCGGGAGCCGGCAGGGGCGGGTGTCGGGGCGCGCGCGGGGCCCCCATCTGCCTCCATCCTCCCTCCCGCCCGCAGCGCCGGCCCCGGCCCGGGGGCCCCGGTCTCTGTCCGCAGAGGAGCGAGGACGGACTGGTCTGACTTTTACCCCGGCGTGGTCCCCTCTGACTTGTACAACAGGTTTGATGAAGGTTTCGGATCGTGTGTCTAAGAGGCCAGAGTGGGGGCCGGTGCCCCTTTCCCCCGTTTCATTTGCCGCGTGTTGGATTTTCTCAGCGTTTGTGGGTCAGCGGCGTGTCCCCTTGGATTTGGGAAGAAGAAAGCGCCAGGTCTGGGATGCGGGTCTCAGTTCAGCCCAATCCTCGGCTTGGGCCGATGCACAAGTCCCCGAAGAGCCGCAGGGGATGGGCTGCGTGAGGGGCTTCCGAGAAACTTGTGAAATGCTGGTGACAATAGCGTGGAGGGCAGTCATTAAAAGTAATTGGCGACACATCTTAGTTAAAACGTGCAGGCACCAGAAGGCACTTCCTGTCGGTGAAGGAGACCAGTCCCCGGTGTCACGGGCATCCTGTGTTTTGCAAACGGGGCTGGCCTCCCTTCCTGGGGAGCAGGACGGTCCGGGTGAGCGTGGCCTGCCCGCAGCTCTGCACCCCCGGAGGGGCTAGGGACCTGCAGCCAGGCGGGGACGCTGGCCCAGCGACCTCAGTGTCCCCTGGGTGGACATGCACTCTGTTTAGTGTCTGATTTAACCATGCCAGGTTGTTCTTTTCCCTCAAGTAGATTTTATGCCGTACAACTCTTTTCTCGCCCCAGTTCTAGCAGAATCTAACCAGTGTTCTAGAAGAAAATGTCCTGCCCCCATGCAGTCTCCTTAGAATTGCAGGGTGCTGCTCAGAACTGCTCCTGTGGAGAGCTTTGTCTGTTGTTTGGATCCAGCAGCGTCTTTGGGGGTGTTGCTTGAAGCCTGCCAAGGAGGGGAGGGGGGTTTTGAGGACAGAACACCAGGGCTCTAGCCTGTCACATAACTGGGGGTGTGGAGGGCACCTCACTGCCACTGCAGTGATTAAAGCCTGGAAGACGCTGGCCCGTTCACCTGCCCCTCTGGTTGTTTTTTAAACAAATTCTGATACAGGTAATGATGACTTTATGCTTTTTTTCTTATGTTTTCTCTTCTGAATTCTGAGTGTTAGGAAGGAAAAGAAGTGCAGAAGATCTGGCTAAACAATTTCAGTATGGTGAAAGAAAAATTGTAACTTACACGCCCTCTTCATGCATCTTTAATTCAGTTTGAATATTCCAGGTGCTGTGAGCAGTTTGCATACATTAGTTTAAATATTAAATGGGATAAAATTGTGGGAAAGTAATTTCTGACCCAAGCTGCTTGGCCTGTGAGGGCATAACCTTCCAATGGCCACCTGCCATAGGTTATGATTTCTGTTTTAGTTGCTTAGTGCATGAGCGTAGACCTGGAACCCCAGAGGGCCTGCTCCATTTTTATTCCCAGGGTCATTTAAATCTAGTTGAGCTTAAATGTTTGGAAAGGACACAGGTTTGCTTGAATGAACAAACATATATTGCTAACAAGACCCAGAGAAGGAAAGTTTAACTTAATGGAAATTAATTTTTAACTCTTTGAATTCTTAAATGATGTAAGAAACATACATAATTCCATGAGTTGTCCATTTTTACATCTGGACTCGATAGACAGAAATGTTTCACTTTTAGTGAGTTAATTTTGAAATATATGAATCCTAGACCCATTGTTATCACTAGCTGTTACTTTATCAGGACAGCTGCTGAATTTTTTTGTCACTAAATTTAAAAATCAACTATCAGGTTGTCCCTTGGATGACCTGAGATTTCTAGAGACAGAAGAAATCTATTCTTCTTGATTAAAGAAAGAGCCTGGAGATTTTTTTAAAACCACTGATTTGGGGATCAGAGAGTAGCCAGTGTCTCAAACTCTCCCCTGTCCCTTTTTGTATTTCTCAAGGAGTGGGCTTGAGGCCTCAGATTGGGTGTCACCGTTATTTTGATAGGGAGAAGATCCTACTAAAGAGCACCTTTGATTATTTTATGTGTGCAAAATACAGAGCATCAGGAAGCTGGCAATTTCTGAACTTACCTCATAACAGTTCTGGGAATGAAGAAAAATACCCACAAAGTTTATTCAGGGGACACACTGCGGCGAGTAGGGGGGAGTTGAAGGAATATGGCAACAACTACTATTTTTCCCTCAACAGGCGACATCCTCACTGACTGAGCAAAGACTGACATTCGTATCATCACTGTGCCCCGCTGGCACTCCAGTGGGGTAGGAGAAGGAGCTCTGACACCCTCGCAGAGGGACCTTGCCCTCATTCTTCGAGTCTGAAACGCTGGCAGTCGTTGGAAACAGGACTCAGGTTTGCTTGTTTTGCTTTGACATTGTTTTCCTTTAATCTATGCAGACTCCCCGAGTATCCAAAGCTACCTTCAAAATTGGGAGGCACATGTTCCTGTTCTCAGATCTATCAACTATTCCCTAGATGGCCGGGCGTGATGGCTCACGCCTGTAATCCCAACACTTTAGGAGGCCGAGGCTGAAGTCAGGAGTTCAAGACCAGCCTGACCAAGATGGCAAAACCCCGTCTCTACTAAAAAAAAAAACTTAATTAACCAGGTGTGGTGGCATGTGCCTGTAGTCCCAGCTACTCAGGAGGCTGAAGCACAAGAATCACTTGAACCCGGGAGGTAGATGTTGCAGTGAGCTGAGATTGCGCCATTGCACTCCACCCTGGGCGACAGAGCAAGACTCTGTCCCAAAAAAAAAAAAAAAAAAAAAAATTTTTTTTTTTTTTTTTTTTTTGCTAAATGAAATTGAAAGTGGAACAGAGCTATCTAGAAAAATATGCTGAGGGGTAACACTCCAACTTTGGGGGCTTTAGTTTTGGTTCTGTCATTAGTGAAATTATAATGGCATCGCTAAATAAGCTAGTTGTGATTAATTTCCTAAGTAAGAAGTTTTAAAACAATCAAGAAATTTCATTACTGCAATCAAATGCCAATCGATCTTAATTATTTGAGTTGTAAAAGGAAAGAATAATCTATCTTCATAATGCTGTATGGATCCTCAAAAGTAAAATCAATGGTTTACTTATTTTTAGAGCTAGATATTTCAAACTGTAGCTTTAGTATCAAGAATACAGCATTAAGTTGTTCACTATGAATAGATTTACCACAAAACCGAACACAGTTTACCTTTTTAAGTTTAAATGTAACCACACTCTTAGAAGTTGAAGACTGCAGACGGTAAGCATATCTATTCTTTCCTTAAAAGACAACCAGAGAGGCATCAGTTAAAATGAACCTCTCTGGTTTCCGAAGAAAGGGTTAATATTTTACTTTGTCTTGAAAAAGCTCCTCCCATTGGCTCCAGCCCTCCAGAAGCAGGAGAGGAAAGAAGTACTTTGTCTACTACAGCTACAGCGGGTCCCAGTGGATGTCATGATTTTGGAAAGTAATTTGAAATTAGTGACAACTTCACAAATTGAAATAACCTTCAAATCTTCTCCAACCAAGAGGATTTGTGAAAGATCATGCCCTGTGGTTTCGTGTTTTTACAAGGGAGAGCCTGGGGGCTGGCGCTTTCTTTGCCACCCCCAACCCCCAACATCCTTCCTCTGGGCCCCTCTGCAGTCTGTCCACTCACCCTGTCCACCCATGAAAGTCAGGACAGGAGCAGCCAGTGGAGTTGAGTCCTCCTTAAAACTTGCTGAGTCTCCTGCATTTACCGCCATCCTCCCACAGCTCCATGAGTCGGAGCGTCTCCCGGGGCAGCCAGGACTGGCCAGTGATGGCAGCAATGTGCTGGAAATTTGGTGCTTGGTAACCCTCAACTGGCCCATCACCCTGGCCTGTCTCTTGACACTTGCAAGGGGAGCTCTCCTCTCCCTGGCTGTTGGCCTGCAGAGAATGATACGCAGGGCAGATCTCAAGGGCTGGTTGGTGAGCCCCTCAGGAGTGACACAACCAGGAAAAGAAAGAGCCACTCTCTCACTGTCTTGACTGGGAAACACCAGCTCAGGGGCACTGAGCGCCTAGGGGCAGCCCACTCAGGACCGGGCAGGTTTGGAGAGAGGACACAGCCCCTCCCTTGGATCACTTCTGCTGTTACGAATAGCAGGGCCTTTGTGGCTCTTGCAGGAGGACGCTGTGAACCAGGAGACTGTCCTGAGTGACTGGGGGCCTAGACACGCTTGTATTGGGTTTAACCTCATTTTTCTCAGCAAGCTCGGCATCGCCTTTACTTTTCTTCCTTTAAACGCATAGGTGCATTGCCGATTTTTAGTACCAGCATTTCCACAGGAGAAGAGAATATTATTATTCAGAATGAAAAGAGGGGCCCAATTCCTGGAGGAGGGCAACTACCTTGATTTTTAAAATAAGAGAAATGCTTAAAGAATTAAAAATAGAATAACCATGAGATCCAGCAATCTCACATCGAGATACCTAAAAGACTTGAAAGCAGGGTCTTGAAGAAAGTATGAGTACACCTTACTCACGGTAGTGTTACAACCGCCAAAAGGCAGAAGCAACCCAGTGTCCATCGATGGGTGAATGAGTAAACAAAATGGGGAGCGTCTATACGGTGGAATAGCATTCAGCCTCCCAAATAAGGAAATCCTGTCACTCGCTGCAATGTGGATGAACCTCAAGGACACGATGCTGAGTGAAATAAGCCAGTCCCAAAAGACAAGTGCCGTGGCTTTCTACTTCTATGAGGTCGGCAGAGCAGTCAAAATCACAGACACGGAAAGTAGAATGGTGGTTGCTGGGGGCTGGGGAGGGGGGAATGGAGAATTGTTGCTTAATATTAATACCCAACCAAGGGCAAAATAAAACAATTTCTCAGAAAGCCAACGGAACTAGGAGTCGGACTTTTCCAACAGGTCTGCTGACCGCACCCGGCCAAGCATGAGAATGTTTTTAGGGTGGGCATTCCTTTTCAGAAAACCTCAGACTAGCAGGGCAGGGAGTTGAAGTTATAAAATATCACAGCCTACCTCAAAATAAAGTTGGCTTCAGTCTGTAATATCACTGTGTCACTTTCCCAAAAGATGCTGCCTTGGGGCACACAGTAGCACCCCACTCCGAGGCCAAGGCACTCCTGGGTGGGGAGAGGCTGCCTCCATTCCCCCAACTGCTTCCAGGAACAGCCAGCATAATGCAGAGGGGCAGGTGTGTGGGCCAGAGCGTGAGGTCCAGGGGGCTGGCATGAGAGGGGGAGGCTGACAGGTGTCCCTCACCCATTCAGGGACAAGAAAGTCTAAGGCCGGCGAACAGAAGGACTTTGGTGACTCCCTCATGCCCTGGCAGCCTGTAAAAAAATGCCTGAGTGAATTCCTCTGGGGAGAGGTCTCTTACTTTCGGAAAATTTTCAAAGGGTCCGTGATACTTCCTTTTCTTTTTCAAAGGAGAATACTGACCAGTTCTATAGTCTTCTGTGGCAGTGTAGGATAAGAAGGCAACTGTTTGAATTATAGCAAAAGTGTCCATAGCTGTAAAGAAGTCCTTTTTCTCTTGGGATGTAGAATCAGTGCATTAACGGGGAAGGAGGCCCCGGGTGGCAGGGGCAGCAGATCCCCTCCTCAGCCGCCCCTGGCGCAAACAGGACCCGCTGGGGAGGCAGAGCCAACGTGGGCTTGGTTATACTGAAGATATGTTGGAGAACAATGGAGCAATCTTTATAAAAGATTGTGAGTCTCTTTTAGAAGAGGCTTTCTCAGTAGTTGACAATATTAGATTTCCTAAGAACACATGAGTATGGCAGATGATGTTATTCAAGCTAGAATTAGGTATAAATATATTGTATAAATAAGCTAGTAAGTATTTTGTTTTTTCCCTTCTTAGTCTGTTGGGTAAACTAGATTATGTCATTCCAATGGAAGTTTTGTTTTCCCTGAATAAGCTATTTAACGAATAAAATCTACTGTGGAAGCTCGGTGAGGAGCCCTTGGATAAAGCCAAACCGTGTTACAGCTCAGAAAGTGATTAAAAGGGAGCTTGGAAATGAATTCGTTTACCTGTGTTCCTGGATTAATGCAAACGGCAATCTAATATATGATCTGAATTCAGTTGAATCAAGATGATCTGAACCCCCTCCTCTGAAAAGTTATTTCTGACCAAAAACATGAGATTTTTCTTTTTTTCTTTGGTGAGACGGAATCTCAGAATCTCGCTCTGTCGCCCAGGCTGGAGTGCACTGACTTGATCTCAGCTCACTGCAAGCTCCACCTCCCTGGTTCACCCCATTCTCCTGCCTCAGCCTCCCAAGTAGCTAGGACTACAGGTGCCCGCCACCATGCCCAGCTAAATTTTTATTGTATTTTTAGTAGAGACAGGGTTTCACCTTGTTAGCCAGGATGATCTAAATCTCCTGACCTCGTGATCCACCCACCTCGGCCTCCCAAAGTGCTGGGATTCCAGGCGTGAGCCACCGCACCTGGCCAAGCATGACAATGTTTTTAGGGTGAGCATTCCTTTTCAGAAAGCCTCAGACTAGCAGGGCAGGGAGTTGAAGTTGTAAAATACCACAGCCTACCTTAAAATAAAGTTGGCTTCAGTCTGTAATATCACTGTGTCACTTTCCCAGGGCCTCTTCCACTAATAAACCTTTGCCCGCTTTTGTCTGTTTAGGGATAAACTGGCACAATGGACTGGGGGGCCCTGCACACTTTGATTGGGGGTGTCAACAAACACTCCACCAGCATCGGGAAGGTGTGGGTCACGGTCATCTTCATCTTTCGAGTCATGATCCTCGTCGTGGCCGCTCACGAAGTGTGGGGCGACGAGCAGGAGGACTTTGTCTGCAACACACTGCAACCGGGATGCAAAAACGTGTGCTATGACCACTTTTTCCCGGTGTCCCACATCCGGCTGTGGGCCCTCCAGCTGATCTTTGTCTCCACCCCAGCGCTGCTGGTGGCCATGCACGTGGCCTACTACAGGCACGAAACCACGCGCAAGTTCAGGCGAGGAGACAAGAGGAATGAATTCAAAGACATAGAGGACATTAAAAAGCAGAAGGTTCGGATAGAGGGGTCGCTGTGGTGGACGTACACCAGCAGCATCTTTTTCCGAATCATCTTCGAAGCGGCCTTTATGTATGTGTTTTACTTCCTTTACAATGGGTACCACCTGCCCTGGGTGTTGAAATGTGGGATTGATCCCTGCCCCAACCTTGTTGACTGCTTTATTTCTAGGCCAACAGAGAAGACTGTGTTTACCATTTTTATGATTTCTGCATCTGTGATTTGCATGCTGCTTAACGTGGCAGAGTTGTGCTACCTGCTGCTGAAAGTGTGTTTTAGGAGATCAAAGAGAGCACAGACACAAAGAAATCACTCCAACCATGCCCTAAAGGAGAGTAAGCAGAATGAAATGAATGAGCTGATTTCAGATAGTGGTCAAAATGCAATCACAGGTTTCCCAAGCTAAACATTTCAAGGTAAAATGTAGCTGCGTCATAAGGCGACTTTTGTCTTCTCCAGAAGGCAGTACCAACCTGAAAGTTCCTTCTCTAGCCTGAAGAGTTTGTCTTTATAAATGACTTTCGTAATAAATAGACACTTGAGTTAACTTTTTGTAGGATACTTGCGCCATTCATACACAACGTGATCAAATATGTGGCCCATCTCTGAAAACAAGAGACTGCTTGACAGAGGAGCACTGCAGTCACTTTGACAGGTTCCTTTTAAGTGGACTCTGACAAAGTGGGTACTTCCTGAAAATTTATGTAACTGTTGTTGATAAAGTACATTTATCTAGAAATCGATACTTTTATTAGGAAAAGATATTTTTATAGGCTTGGATGCTTTTAGTTCTGACTTTGAATTTATATAAAGTATTTTTATAATGACTGGTCTTCCTTACCTGGAAAACATGAGATGTTAGTTTTAGAATTACACCACAAGTATCTAAATTTGGAACTTACAAAGGGTCTATCTTGTAAATATTGTTTTGCATTGTCTGTTGGCAAATTTGTGAACCGTCATGATATGCTTAAGGTGGAAAGTGTTCATTGCACAATTTATTTTTACTGCTTTCTGAAGGTAGATGGAACAGTAAGGAAGCAGAAAGCTTTTTTAACTCACCTATTTGCCGATCACTGCGAGCAACTGAAAGTGAATGTGATTACCTCAATAAAGCTCGGCCCCATTGCTTAAGGCTTCGCATGCCTTGTGGTTACTGTTGCATCTGGGCAGCTTGCTGCCAACCCTCGTGGGCTGGGTGCTTTTGCTGGGAAGGCGACCAGTTACTGTGGGTGGAGGGGCCTGGGACCTCAACAGGGATTCTTGCATCCTCACTGCAAATGGGCAGAGGCTAAGTTTAGCAGCCTACAGGGCATTCAGCTTGGAGCGGGCCACTTGTACGACACTAGGAATGATGTCCTCAGGGTCAGTTCATCCTGGAAAGAGAGGAGGTTAGGGAAGTCTTAAGCCTTCATCCCGTGGTGACTGAGAAAAGCACCCACAGTTTAGCTCCCAGAGGTGGGAAACCTCTTTCCCCCCAAGGATTTCCAGATTGGACACAGATACCGTTAGTGTGGGTGTGGGTGAGGCAGGTGCAGACTGATCGCTCCTGGGAGCAACGGCACACCCGTGAACTCACTCCCTGCATAAAAGGACACAGCATGATACACCGCCCATGGGGACACCCGGCGGACGGTGAACACAGATGTGGGCTTGGTGTGGCATGTTGATTCCTCCAGGATCTCCTTCAGAAACTTGCTCCAGAGAAACAAAAATACACTTCTCATTTTCTTTAGTCTGAAGCAAATCCCAAAATATTTCATCCATAAATATTTTAGTACCAATCTATAAAAACAAGGACTAAGCTTTTAAAGCAAAATCACAATTTAATCATCACACTAAAACAATCCAGTTGGCATTCATAATCCCTGCTTTTCCTGGGATGTTCCTTTCTTTTTATTTGATTTCTTTTTATTTTTATTTTTTGAGATGGAGCCTCACTCTGTAGCCCAGGCTGGAGTGCAGTGCACAATCTTGGCTCACTGCAACCTCTGCCTCCCAGGTTCAAGCGATTCTCCTGCCTCAGCCTCCCAAGTGGCTGGGATTACAGGCGTGCGCCACCACGCCTGGCTAATTTTTATGCTTTCAGTAGAGATGAGCTTTTACCATGTTGGCCAGGCTGGTCTCCACTCCTGGCCTCAAGTGATCCGCCCTCCTCGGCCTCCCAAAGTGCTGAGATTACAAGCGTGAGCCACCGCTTCCAGCCCTGTTCCTTTCTTTTTAAATCACTGGTTGTACAAGTATTGCATGAAGCCCATAGGAAGTGGGGAAGATCGGGGCAAATAACACAGCCTTGGCAATAATCCCCATACGAATGGAGGAGGCATCTTCTCCCCACCTCTCCCCCAGCTGCTGCGGTTGGCCCCCCCATTCCCTCTCTTCTTTTTTAAACAATAAATTGAGGTAAAATGGATATACACAGAACTGCCCATATCTAAAGGGCCCAATTTGATGGGTTTGAACCTATGGAAACACCCGGGACACCCAGCACCATAATCAAGGTAATAAACATACCCATCCCCTCCATAATCAAGGTAATAAACATACCCATCACCTCCAAAAGGCTCCTGTGTTGCATTGGGTTTTTTTGTTTTGTTTTGTTTTTGTTTGTTTTTTTTGTGTGTGTGGTAAGAACATTTAACATGAGAACTATCCTCTTAAGGTATTCTGAAGTGCACAATACGTATTGTTCACTATGGGCAGGATGCTGTGCAGAAGATCTCTAGAACATACTCTTCTAGCATCACTGAAACTTTATCTCCATTGAATAATAATTCCCCACTTCCTTAAATCCACACCCCTCCGCAGCCCTGGAAACTGCTGTTGGATTCTTTGCTACTCAGAGATTGACTGTTTTAGACACACATCAGTATGATCAGGAGTATTTACCTTCCTGTGCCTGGCTTATTTCACTTGGCATAATGTCCTCTGGGTTCATCTGTGTTGCCCCAGATGGCAGGATTTTCTTCCTTTTTAAGGTTGAATAATATTCCATCATATGGATATACCATACTTTCCGTTTTCATTTATCTGTCTAAACTATCATGAGATATCACCTTACACCTGTTAGGATGGCTATTATCAAAAAACAAAACAAAACAGAAACAAAGGATGAGTGTTGGTGAAGATGTGGGGTAAATGGAGTTCTCATGCACTGTTAGCAGGAATGAAGAAGGGTGCAGCATTATGGAAGGCAGGATGGAGGCTCCTTAAAATATCAAAAGTGAAATGGCCAAATGATCCAGCAATTGCACTTTTGGGGATATGCCCAAAAGAGTTAAAACCAGGATCTCAAAGAAATATTTGCACACCTGTGTTCACTGCAGCATGATTCACAACGGACAAGATATGGAAACGACCCTCCTCTCTCTTTCACTTTCGGTCTCTTCGTCTTTAGTTTCTTCCTGCCCTTTAACCTCTAAAAGTTCCTCCCCTCTTGAGCTACAGCCTGGTCTCTCCACACCCTGCCATCAAGATTCTGAGAATGGCAGCACTATTTCCTCTTTTCCCCACCTATTCCGCCATGACAATGAATCTGAGGCCCACGTGCGACTTACGAACACGAAGCACGGTTTGGCCGGAATGACTTGCTGAACGCCATATGGCTGATGTTCTTCTCAGGGGTCTCTTCAACATTCTTTTAAAGAACTCTTTGAGCCGCGGTGCGGATCGGGCGCGGGTGGCTCACGCGAGCTGATGCCAGCACTTCGGGAGGCAAGGCGGGGCGGATCGATGAGGGTCAGGACAGATCGGAGACCACTCGCGTGGCTAACACAGTGAACCCCGTCTGCTACTACAAGAAATACAAAAAAATTAGCTGGGGCGTGGGTGCGCAGCAGCTGTGGTCCAGCACTTGGGAGGCCTGAGGCAGGTGGAGCCAAAGTGGCCGCGTGAATCCGGTGAAGCAGAGCTTCGCAGTGAGCCGAGATCGCGTGCCCCACTGGCAACTCCCAGGCCTGGGTGGACAGAGCAAGACTCCACTCAAAAAACAACAGTCAACATAGTAAAGATGTAAAATTCTGTGCTCAAATATGCATTATACAGGTTTACTGCATTTGTATCAAAATCCCAGCAAAAGTTTTTGAATACATAGATGAGATTATTCTAAAATAATCCTTATAATGGATTCATTCATATAATAGAAAGGCAAAGGAACTAGTTCCTTTTTTTGAGAGTGAGTCTCACTCTGTTTCCCAGGCTGGAGTGCAGTAGCATGATCTCGGCTCACTGCAACCTCTGCCTCCCAGATTCAAGCAATTCTTGTGCCTCAGCCTTCCGAGTAGCTGGGATTACAGGTGCCCACTACCACACTCGGCTAATTTTTGTATTTTTATTAGAGACGGGGTTTCACCATGTTGGCCAGGCTGGTCTCGAACACCTGATCTCAGGTGATCTGCCCACCTGGGCCTCCCAAAATGCTGGGATTACAGTCGTGAGCCACCGTGCCCAGCCTCTATTCAACCTTTCTGACCTCAGTGCCCTTATCTGTAAAATGATGCTCATATCTCATAGGGTAATTGTGCAGATAAACAAGGTTGCTGAGGAAGACTGCAGGGTGAGTAATGAAAGGTTCTTGGAGTAACTTTACCTGAGGATGGAGACAGGAAGAGAAGCCAGTGCAGGAGATAGATGGGCAGGTGGAAGTGGGGCAAGAGAACCATAGTTAGGTTGGGCAGTATGTAGGAATCCAGTAAAATATTAGTTTTATTTAATTTTTAATTTTTTTGAGACAAGGTCTTGCTCTGTGATCCAGGCTGGAGTGCAGTGGCATGATCATAGATCACTGTAGCCCCAACTTCCTGGTCTCAAGCGATCCTCCCACCTCAGCTTCCTGACTTGACTGTTGTTTCAGCATTAAACCAGCCTTGCATTCCTGGAATGAACCTCACTTTGTCGTGGTGTGTGATTCTCTTTATATAGTACCAAGCTTTATTTGTTACTATTTTATTAAGAATGGTTGCATCTATATTAATGGAGGATATTAGTCTGTAGTTTTCTTTTTTGCATGCTGTATTTGTCTGGTTTTAGAATCAGTATGACACTAGAGTCACAAAATACACTGGGAAGTGTTCCCTCTTTTTCTGTTTTCTGGGAAAAATCATGTAGAATTGGTGGTAATCCTCCTTCAAACATTTGGTAGAATTCTCCAATGAAACTATCTGAGCCTTGCACAATTCTTTTCTGAGAGACTTTTAATTATAAAAGTTATACAGCTCATATCATCTACGTTATATTGGTTGAGTTACGGTAGTTTGTGGGTTTTGAGGAAATTGTCTATTTTGTCTAAGTTGCAAAGTGTATGTGTAGAGTTGCTCACAAGATTCCCTTATTATTGCTTTGATGTCCACAGGGTCTGTAGCGATATATCCTGTTTCATTCCTGATATTGGTAATTTATTTTTTCACTCTTTTTTTCCTTTGTCAGCCTTCCTAGTGGTTTGTAAATTTTAAATTTTGTTGATCTCTTCAAAGAACCAACTCTGTTTCGTTAATTTCCTCTTTTCTTTTTCTATTTTCAGGATAATTGATTTCTGCTCTTATCTTTATTATTTTCTTCCTTCTTTCTTTTGGTTTATTTTGCTCAGCTTCTTCTAGGTTCTTTGAGTAGGAACTTAGATCTCAGTCCTTTCTTCTTTCCTATGGTATGCATTCAGTGCTACACATTTCCTTATTAGCACTCCTTTAGCTATGCTAACAAATATTGATATGTTGTATTTTTAAATTTCATTCAGTACAATGTATTTAGAAGTGTGTTTTAGTTTCCAAGTGTTTGGAAATTTTCCTATTTCTGCTATTTATTTCTAGTTTGATTTTATTATGGCCAGAGAACACACTATTATTTTATTCTTTGAAATGTATTGAGGTTTGTTTTATGGCTTATGTATTAAGCATGTCTTTTTACTCTTACGTTTTGACATCAGAATAATGTCCATGGCCTTACTAACCCTGAGGAGACTGTCCCTCCCAGGGCCAGCTAATTCCTAGAGATGGCAAATAACTCCCTGTGAGTGCACCAGTCATACTCAAACCAATCAATCCAAACCTAGACCCTAACCACCCCCTTCATCAGTCGCTCACGGAGATTTCACATTCTAGGCCACTGTCTACCTGCCCTAATCAGTCCAGGGCCAGGTACCAGAC